TGGCCCCTAACACTTCCAGCAACATAACAAAGTTTATGACAAAATTTCATGCTATAATTCTATGGTAGAGTATCTGTCTTAAAAATTACAGAAAATGATTTTTAAAAAACTGTTCTCAACATTCATCGACACATTAAACTTTTAAGGAAAAAAAAGAGACAATGAGAAAGAAAAGGAGAAAAAAACATATATGTATACATATTAACACACACAAATGAGTGTTTGTTACCAAATTGGAACGTACACTGTGAAGGCAAGGTAGTGCTAAACTGTTTTTTAGCAAGGATGTAGCAACCCAACCATGGAGCACTCACCACCGCCCCTGGCTTGCATCCACTCTACTAGTTTCCACCCACCATTTGCAGAATGCCTCTCCACAGCCATATGGACCAAGGTGATGAGTCATCTGTCATCCAGAATTCCTTCCTTGACCTTTCCACATTCTGTCACCTTTAGCATACTCAACAGCACATCCTCTGCAGAGCACGTGCCCGGTAACATAAGGAATTCAGAGCTGAACACTGGAACTAGGCATCCCTTGTGCTCTTCACTTTGCCAAATGGATTCATTCCAGAGCTCCGAAGAAAACACTTGACTGAAAAAGTGACCAGATGGCTTTTCAAGGAGAAAGATGCAAACTAAATCATTTAGGAGACTGAAGCACTTTACTAAAAACAGGCCTATGATGTAAAAGAACTCCAGTTATTCATCCTGACAGGAAAAGTAATGCAAAAGCAAACATTGAAAAGATATGTAAAAATATTACATAACGGAAAATGATTTTTCAATTCTGCATGGCTAAATATTTTTGAAACCGCTTTTTTAAACTTAGCACTTCACGTAATCACCCCCAAAAATTCAGCAGCCACGACAAATAATAATGACAAAATCTCATACAGTGCTTACTGTGTGGCAAGCATTCTTTTAAGCACTTTACGTACAATGGTCACTCTGGGGACTGAATGAGATAATAAATATTAAATGTTCAGAACCATACTTGGCACATAGTAAGTGCTCAATAAATGCTAATGACTATTTATATTTAACCTGACATTTTTAGTCTCTGTTTTCCATGAGGAATTAGATGCACAGAGAGCTTAAGTAACTTGCCTAAGGTCACATACTACCAGTCAATAGCAGAACTGGGAATCCAACAGGGCAGTCTGGCTCCAGGTTGAAGCTCTTATTCATTATACTAACCATCTTCCAAAAGAGTCTAACAGAGATGATCTTTTTTTGACCAATTTCATGTTCACTAAAACTACACAAGTTCATTTTACAAGGTGAGAAGGCTTACGGTTAAAAAACTTAAACTAGAGAAACTACTGTTAGGTAGTGGCAAAGCCAAAGTTTATCAGTCTCTGCAAATACCCACAGAAAAAGTTTTGGGGGGATAACTATTGTGAATTAAATGTGTAGAGTCTGGAGAAATTAACATGCCTGGGGAAGTGTAAGGAGGGTAGTGATAGCCAAGAAATTCAGAGAGCCCAGAACACAATATAGGAAAACTGCAGGGCTGTAGTACCTAACAGTCACAACTCTTCTCAATTCTTCCTCCTCGATTCATTCTCTCATAACTAGTGCCTACTTTTCATCCCACAGAAGATCCTGGGTGGTACAAATGGTGAACATGCTTGTCTGCTAACTGAAAGGTTGGAGGTTTGAGTCTACCCAGAGCTGCCTCAAAAGAAAGGCCTGGCAATCTACATCCGAAAAGTCAGCTACTGAAAACCCTACAGAGCACAGTTCTACTCTGACACATGTAGGGTCGCCACAAGTTGGCAACTCAACAGCAACTGTTTTTTTTTTTTTTTTTTTTTTTTGGTTTCATTCCACTGCTTGCTATTACTTAAATTCAGCCTTCAACATCTCTTGGTCTAATTATTCTAACCATCTCTGACTTGGCTTCCAATCACCCACCCCTCCCTACCCTGGCACTTAAATCTATCCTCTGGTGCTAACAGAATAGTCTTTGCAAGATACAAATCTGATTATGTTATGCCCCTACTTAAACTCTATAGTTAACTATTTCCAGTTCAACCATTTTAGTACAGATTCAAAGGCCATCCACCCCAGGATGTCCCCTGCCTTCCTATGCTTAGAGCAGCCCTGAGAACATACTAGGATAAATCATTTCTCTCTCAACCTATTCACATTGCTGCCATCTCAACACCCATTCACCCACTTAAAGAACATCTATCTATTCGTCTATTTTTCATAAAGTTGTTCCAACCCCCCACTCCCCACCAAAAGAACAGATGACTTTCTCCTTTGTGTCCTCTGGCTTCCATTTATATATGATTCTTCTTTAAGAGTCAGTAACTGTTTTTTTACACTTCTTTATAAAACTGACTCCTCTACTGGAGTATAAGCTCAGTTCCCTTAAGAACAGGGACAGTCTTACCATTTTACCAACGGCACCTAATAGTTTCTGACACTTAGGAAACAAAAATCCCATGCCTACCACAGACAATTATAGCCTTATCTTAACAAAAATTTTCAACTCAGTCTGTTAGGTTCCTCTAGCCCCATGTGGACAAAACTCCACATTTTTTAAATGAAAGGCACTAGAAATATATGATCTACTTTATAGTCAACTAAGAGCTGCACCAAAAAACCCAAATCCGTTGCCAATGAGTCGATTCTGATTCATAGTGACCCTATAGGACAGAGCAGAACTGCTCCATGGGGTTTCCAAGAAGCAGCTAGTGGATTCGAACTGCCAACCTTCTAGTTAACAACCAAGTTCTTTAACCACTGTACTACCAGGACTCTAACATCTGCACCATGAAGAACATATGTTAAGCAGTATTTCACAAAGTGTGCTTCACAGAACAAATCCTGCAGGTTCTCTGTGGAGGCTGAGGGTGGGTTGGGGGATTCTATGGTCAAACGAATTCAGAAAATGCCTCATGCTATCTCCTTCTGTGAAGAGTTAAATCACATTATCATATTAAAGGTTCTGCAAAGTTCTGAAGTGAAGGAAATTGCTTAACTTTGGTACTTACTACCTTGGGTAGGTTACTGAACCCTCTTTGCCTCAGTTTTCTCAACTATTAAACGGGGATAATAACTGCGCCCAAGTCATATGGTCATTGTGGAGACTGAATGAGATAACAAATGTGTTTTAAGTGTTCAGGACAATGTGTGGCACATAGTCAGTGCTCAATAAATGCTAGTGATTGTTAATACTTAACCTGACATTTGCTAAACATATTTGGTCATAAAATCTGTTTTCTTGCCTAGCAATTTTTCATATTTCACACTGCATGCTAAGAAACATTAATATAGTTATTTACCTACTCCACCATATTATTGATTTTGGAGACTCATGGATCCAGACACTAGGTAATCTGGTGATTTAAGTACAGGACAATTCCTCTGGCTTCTATATGACAGGCAAATACCAAGGTTCCAAATAAGTCACACCTCCCTGAAGCTTCAGTTTCACCAAAGTAAGAGAGGACTGAGTGCATTGTGTGAGCTGAAGAAAAACTGCTCTGCAGTGGAAAGAAGTTTGTTATAGATAAATCTCACTATCTGCATTTTGTGTCCCCGGAAAGCTCATCAAGTTTCTATTCTCACTACATCAAGGGATCTTGCTATTTAAGAATTAGACAAGTAATCCACCTAGTCCATTTTTTCCTTTAATAAATCAAAAGATTTATACTGGATAAACTTAATACGGCAGCTTTGTAGAATCCAGAATTGTGTAATATTTTGTATGTGAGCATCTATATGCATTATTCTGGGTAAAATATCACAGATGTCAACTAGTGGTTCCCAAAAAGTTTAGGAACCACTAATAGACTTTTAAAATCAGGTCCATGTATTATTTAAATATACACTAAACATTAAACAGTATTAAAGGATATATACAGTAAAAGAAAAGTCTCTCTCTCAACCCTAATCCTCATCTAGAGCCAACCACCATTATCAGTTTTCTGTATCCTTCCAAAGATAGCTTATTGCAGGTGTGTATAAACGTATATTTAAAAAAAAACAAACCCATTGCCATTGAGTTAATTCTGACTCATAGTGACCCTATGGGACAGAGTAGAACTTGCTGCCGTCAAGTTGATTCCGACTCACAGCAACCCTATAGGATAGAAGTGCCCCATAGGGTTTCCAAGGAGCAGCTGGTGGATTTGAACTGCTGACTTTTTCGTTAGCAGCCAAACTCTTAACTACTGCACCACCAAGGTTCCAATAAATGTATATAGTTTTACATAAATAATAGTATATAACATACACTACACTGCAACTAGCTTTTTTTCACTCGGCAGTTTATCCTGGTGATCTGTTAATATCAAGTGGTTCCTCACTCTTTCTCGTAGGTACATATTACTTGATTAATGAATGTACCAAACTTTAAGGAGTCCTTATGGATACCTGGGTTGTTACTAGTTTCCTGTTATTTACAAATAATGCAGAAATAAACAACCTTGGAGGTATAGATATTGCTAAATTGGTCTCCAAAAGCTGCCTATTTAACATCCACGACAATACTTATTTGCTACACCCTCAATAAAGGATTTTCAGACTTTTTTTTTTTTTTAATCTTTGTTAATCTGACAGGTGAAGGTTGGTAACTCATGGTTTTAATTTGCGTGGCCTATTGTGAATGGAAGAACCTCTGATTTAAGATGAGTTACACTTAAATGATACTTAGTCATAGAAACAAAAGACACAAGGGAAATTGGAATAAGAATTCAGTGAAGGTCACACAAATTAAAACCATGAGTTAGTTGCCATCTTTCATGCTTCAATTCAGTCGCTCTGGTGATGGTACCTGGAAACACAGAAGCAAAAGGCTGCCCCACAGTAGGTGTCTATCATGTTGCCAAACGGGAACATGCCTAAACAAATGATGGAAAGTCTAGAAGAAAGTCATTTTCCAACGACTGAAAGACTCTCTCTGTGAGAGATTAATGGATTGCGCAAAGTAGTCCATAACCCTGTACTCACAGAAATCCAGCTTACCCAGAGGGTCAACTCACCATCTAGTAGCCAGTGCTGGCTGCGCCTATTCTCCAGCTCCGACATCATTAGGCGTGTGATCACATGATCTGGAACCAAAAGACCTTTCCCTATGTACTGCTTTGCCATAGCACCAACTTCTATTAAAAAGACAGAAAAAAGAGAACTCAAAAAAAGTTTCCAAAAAAAAAAAAAAGTGCTTACAGTTTTTTTTTTTTTTCTGACAGTGTTTCCTTCTTTTCCATTCCTCCTTGTTGGAATGGAGAAAAATTACAGGTAGATGTTTTTAGAGTAATTCTTCAAACTACTAGTTTCAGCAATGGTTGCATTGTTATTTATTTAACCCATTTGTCTCCCAAAGCAATTTAAAAGGTAGCTCTTGAAGATATACACAGCCAAAAAAATACAAATAAAAGAAAATATAAATTAGACAAAGAGAAAATAAGAAAAAAAAAAGTTGTAGTCAAGGGGGAGGGTAGTACACAAAAGCCTGGGACGAAAGTCCTACATACTTCTAGAGGTGAGCCATAAATTTGGCAGTAAGACTCTCAACAGTTTATGGTAATAAGGAAACACGATCAACTACATAATTTATGGTACCTAGAAGACTAAGGTAGCTGGAAAACACAACAAATTACTTACAGAACCAAAAGAAAAAAATTTCACTGGTCCTCATAGAAAGAACACTGCATAATACAACTAACAATAGGTTTATTTCTTTTTATGAGACTTAATATAAGTAGATGGCACCTCACTGACACAACTGTAAAAGCAACTCAGCATTATTAGTGGAATGCCAATTTCACACAAGGATGTGAATTTTAAAAAAAGGAAAAAACTTTTTCAGAGAAAAACACACTTCTATTTTAATTTAAAATAACAATTTCCAATATGTAAAAGTTGTGAATTGGGTTCAGCAAAGCAAATTATCATTTTAAGTCTGCATATTTGTAGGAACTGAATGTTTTTTTTAACACAGATGACGTCTTCTGCTCTCCCGGGAACTGATAATCAGCCTTAAAAACCACATTCTCAATACGCCAATTAAGTTCTTATAAAAATATGTTGTTGTTGGCTGCCGTCAAGTTGGCCCTGACTCATGTCAACCCCACGCACAACAGAACAAAATGCTGCTGGTCAGGCTGCAGTTCGCACCATTGTGATCCATGGGTTTTCATTAGCTGATTTTCAGAAGTAGATTGCCTGGCCTCTCTTCCTAGTCTGTCTTAGTCTGGAAGCTCTGCTGAAGCTCAGCATCATAGCAACACGCAAGCCTCCACTAACAGATGGGTGGTGGATACACATGAGGTGCATTGGTTGGGAATTGAATCCAGACCTCCTGAATTGAAGGTGAGAATTCTACCACTGAACCACCACTGCCCCCTATAAAAACAAAGCTGAAATGTTACTGGAAAAAAGCTCAGGAATCTTACTGCCCCCACTTTCACCTTGAATTTAGGTAGAGTCTTAGCTTCCCCAAAACTGAGTCTATACCCCTAACCCCAGTTTCAGCACTAAAATATGGGCTGTAAAAAGCTCCAAACCAAAAACCAAATCTGTTGCCATCAAGTTGATTTTGACTCATAGCAACCCTATAGGACAGAGTAGAACTGCCCCATAGGGTTTCCAAGTAGCAGCTGGTGGATTCAAACTGCCGATCTTTTGGTTAGCAGCCGAGTTCTTAACCACCGCACCACCAGGGCTCCATGAAGAGCTCCGTATCAATAGATTTGCATATCTATATTAATTGATTGGAAAAGTAGCTCAAAACACAGGCCCATCTGATGCTGGTTCAGTAACATGCTACAGGAAGCAGAACACAAAAGACAGCCACATTCTTGAATGGAAATGAACCACATTCATTCAACAAATATTAACTGATTGCATACTGTTGGCAGGTAATATTCTACAGTTATGGCAGAGAATATAAGTTCCAGCTTGCTGATACTTAAGTAGTATTACTTTCATTAAGAGCAATGATAACAATAAGCAATAAAGAATAATAATAAGAAATAAAGTAAAATAAAACCACCCACCCACCATTAACTGAGTACATACTATGTCCTGGGCACTGTACCTTAAGCACTTCAGATGTGTTATTTCATTTAATTCTCATAACCTTATGATCCTCACCTTAAAATAGGAGGGAATAGTCATATTTTTTAAGACAGCTTTATTGAGACATAATTAACATCCAATAAAATTCACTTTTTAAAGTGTACAATTCAGTGGTTTTCAGTATATTCACAATGTTGTACAAACACCACCGCCACCTAATTTCAGAACATTTTAATTTCCCTAGAAAGAACCACGGTATCCATTAGCAGCAACTTCCCATTGGCCCTCCCCTGCAGTCCCTGGCAACCACTAATCTACTTTCTGTCTCTATAGATTTGCCTATTCTGGATATTTCGTATAAATGGAATCATCTAATATGCGGCCTTTTATAAGTCCCTGGGCACTGCAAATGGTTTGCACCCAACTACTAACCTAAAGGTTGGTGGTTAGAACCCACTCAGTGTGGCCTTTTATGTCTGGCTTCTTAGTATAATATTTTCGAGGTCCAACCAGGTTGTAGCACGTTATCAGTACATCATTTTTATTGCAGAATGATACTCCGATGTATGGATATACCACAATTGCTCATCCTTTCATCAGTGATGGACATGTGGGCTGTCTTCACTTTTTTGGCTACTAGGAATAATTCTACTATGAATGTTCGAATATACTTTTCTGTGTGGACGTATGTTTTCAGTTCTCTTGAGTAGTACAGGTATTTTAAAGGTGAGAAAATCGTAATTCAAAAATTTTAACTTTCCCAAAGCCATGCAGCCAGTAAATGTTAGTTAGATATGAAACTAATTCAGAGCTGGTTTCAAACTCTATGCTCTTAACTAATAATAAATACCTAATACACTGCCTAGATAATGGGCAATTCTTCTCATTTCCTTTGGAATCAGAAAGACCCTAATAGTAGAACTTCTTTGTCTAATAGGAGAGAAATAAAGTATCCACCAGATACCAACTTTTTCATAAACAATGCATATGAATGGGTTTCTTTCACTGTATCACACTGTGCATCAGAGCAATTCTTTCCAAACAATGATTTCAGGATGGCTCTAAGCCACCAGAGTCATCTACAAACCACATCATGATAGAAGGGGGATTACGAACTATTAGCTTGAAGGACTGTATGTCCAGTATTAAGTCCTCTGGACATCTGTCTGCAGTCAACCAGCTCAATACCCTAAGCCACAACAAAAAAGGACCGAAGTTAGAAGAAACAGAGGTTGTAAAATAAACCTTGATAAGAATACTCCAAGTATGCTCAAATGATTTAAAAGGTTAACTCTGATGTCTTACGTTTGAAAAACCATTGTCAGAAAGTATGGTTGGAGAAACTAACAAGTTTGGTGCTGTCCTACGCTGCAATGGTCAGGCCAAACCCAGAGCCCTGTCCTCAGTCCCACCCTCCAGGCTTTAAGGTAGATAAAAACAACAAATATACGTCTTCCAAGGTGAGAGACTATCTTAGTCTCCTAGGGCTTCCGTAACAAAATACAGTGAAACGTGTGACAGACAGAACTCCATGGGACTGCCTGGTTTTTCCAGGTCTCACAAGTTTTCCGCCTTTGACAGGGTACAGTCTTATCATTTTTCTATTGCTCGTTTTAGTGGAAAATATTTGCGTTTTCCTTCTCTGACAGGTTTCTGCCTTACATGGGTTCTGGCTTCTGCAGGTTTTACTGTACCAAAAAATGAGTGACCTTAAAAATCAGAAATTTATTTTCTCACAATTCTGGAGGCTAGAAGTCTGAATTTGGGGTACTGACAGGACTATCCTCTCTCTGTTGTTTCTAGGGGAAGATCTTTCCCTGTCTCTTTCAGCTTCTGGCAGCCCTGGGCATTTCTTAGGGTTCCCTGGCTTGTAGACAGACCCTCACATGCTGCCTTCCCCATGTGTGTGACCCACCCTACTTTAGTGTGACTTAGTTAATTTATCTGATAACATCTGCAAAGAAAGGCCCTATTTCCCCAAACAAGGTCGCATTCACCGGTACAGGGGGTAGTACTTCAACATAGCTTCTGGGGGACACAATTAAATCCGTAACAGAGACTGAGATGTGAACTGGCTCCAGGCATGCCATGTGGATAACTGTGAGAGTAGGAAATACCTCATTTAGAAAGCAAAAGCCCAAGAGAAGGGCATGATAGCAATTTACCTATAACTTGATACTTGACACATGGAAAAGGTATTATCCCCTTCTATCCCCAGGGCTTAGAATCAAGGCTAGTAGTGGGAATTATAAAGAGATGGGAAAAGTTGCGTCAGGAAATATTTGAAGAAAGACTCAAAGACTGCCTGGAAAGGGCTGCTGTAGAGGGATTTTTGAAAACTGGTCTGGGGATGAGGTTACATTAACGATGGGCTCAAGCATAGCAACGATTGTGAGGATGGCACAGGACTGGGCAGTGTTTCATTCTGTTGTACACAGGGTCACTGAGTTGGAACTGACTCGACCACACCTCACAACAACAGTAACCTTTATGGAAGGAGCCCTGGTGGCACAACGGTTAAGTGCCTGGCTGCTAACTGAAAGGTCGGAGGTTCAAACCCAACAGTGGCTCTGTGGAAGAAAACACCTGACAATCTGTTCCCGTAAAGATTACAGCCTGGGAAACCCTATGGGTCAGTTCTACTCTATCCTACAGGGTCGCTATGAGTCAGAATGGACTCAATGGCACACAACAACAACCTTTATGGTCACTTCAAATGGGGGTTTTATAGTATTAGGATGCATCTGGATTCACAGGTTTAATAAACCTGCTGCTGTTATTGTTCGGTGCCATTGAGTCGATTTTTGACTCAGCAACCCCACGTGACAGAGTAGAGCTGCCCCACAGGGTTTTGTAAGCTGTAATCTTTACAGGAGCGGATCACCAGGTTTTTTTTCCCACAGAGCCGCTGGATGGGTCTGAACCTCCAGCCTTTCAGTTAGCAGTCAAGCACTAACCATTGCACCACCAGGGCCCAGAGTATCTGCTAGATGGTTCAATATGTATCTCCCACTGACAACTCAAATTTATCATGTCTAAAACCACACTTTCCCCTCCCACTCTGTTTTTGCCCAAATGTTTC